AACAATTTGATCAGTTATAAGACCCATAAACATTAAATGAACTAAAAGCCCCATTCAAAACTGGATATGGTCCATCTTAAAATAAGAAACAAATTACGTGCCAAATGGTAGGCTGGTAGCGATGGACATGGTACATTGGTACGTGCCAAAACAAGCAAGTGTTAGATTATTGGGTTTTGTTGCAGTTTCTGGGCTTTCCTCCCGGGTTCAGATGATTGTGGGATCAATTCTTACCCCTGCCCTTGTGGCTCTTTAAACACCAAAAGAAAAAAAAATAAAAATAAAATTGAGGCAAAATCATTGAGACTATAATAATAAAACGAAAGTCAAGCAATTTAATGGACTGAAAAAGTATAATTTATCATAAATTACAAAGTATATTAAAATTATATCCCTTACTCTAACTTCTATCTATTTACAGATAAAAATCACCCTATCGCAATCTCTATTCTCTCGTACCAAACACTCTCGAAATCTTTTTTTTTTTTTTTTTTTTTTAAAAATGTATAAATAAACTCGTGCATCGGACTTGATGGACGGCCTTGAAAAGGTAGTGTGTATAAAACATAACTTCATAAACTTTCTGCTTCCCACCTACCACTCTTGTTAAATTCTACCAGAGATATAAACTTAACTCATCACAACATTCACAAAATTTCCAAACACCTTTTCCTTTTCCCCTGCCCCAAGAAAAGCACTTCTCCACCAAAACCCGTATTTTACAATGGGCACCCGAATTGTATTGGGCTGGATACTACTAGCACTAGCACTCTATTGTGGGCTTGACCCATTTAACCACAGTTCAATTTCCGGGTTTCCAAACTTCGTTTCTGTTGAGGTCAAATTACCTGATAAATCCGAAATCCCAACAATCAAAGATTCACTGAATTTGTTGCAGAATTCGGATGTAAAATTGTTGGGTCAAATTCAAGGACCCGAAAGTCTTGTTTTTGACCCGAATGGTCGTGGCCCGTATACTGGTATTGCTGATGGTCGTATTCTCTTTTGGGATGGCACCAATTGGACCAATTTTGCCTTTACTTCCGCTAATCGGTTAGTTTTTATTTTTGGTTGTTTTTGTTTCGGATCATTATTATTAGGTTAATTACTATCTTATGATTTATGAATAATGGCATTGTTTTGTGTTGTGTCAATTGTTGACGTACATTTTTTATAAGATGTTGTAAAAGTCGATATATTAGTGATTTTCTGGAGTATTTCACTAATATATCGGTCAAATTGTTGCATTTAACGTGGAGTAAAATTGGAGTCGTTCCAATATTTGATAAAAGTTATTTCTTGTTTCTAGAATAAAATTATGCTGTACTATCTGCTATCATAGTCAAAGAATTTTTAAATTTTGTAAACAATGAAGTTATTGGTAAGTCAGTCGTGGTTAAGTGACTAATTGACTAGTTCAGTTGTATAAAACTAAAGTTTAAGTTGATTGAAACTTTTGCGTGGTGCAATTATATTCAATTTAATCTGATTATTCTACTATTCTTGGTCATAATAAGTACATGAATGATGACTTTGAATAAACTGCATTTGATCATGTATGTTGAATTATTGACTACTATTAGTTTAATTAGTAAACTACATGTTGATTTACTCTGCTAAATAAAGTACGGAGTACCATTTTTTAATTCGAAAGTTTTGGTAAGAAATATGGTGACAACAAATGATTAATTTATTACGCGAATTACTGGTATTAGCCAATTCAATGGGAACTGATTGATACTCTAGTTAAAGGTTATGGTTGAGCTATCATTTATCACTGAATTGATTAATGATAATGATAATGATGTCTTAATATATTAACATGCTACTAAACTACTAATAAATCCGCAATTTAGCTATTGGTATTTTGTACTGTACTCCTTAGGAATTATAAATTACTGAGTAACAATTATTATTGCATTGATACTACCAAATACGAAGTACTACGTAATAGTTAGCATTACATAGGATTAGTGACAACTATATGAAAACGATAAAGCTAATTAAGTGGTCAAATAATATGGATGGTAGTTGATACAAGAAAAAAGTCTTAATTATTACAATCATGTAACAAGTTAGCTACCTAGATAGGTAGATAGATTATGGAATAGGCTGTATATTATGGTGAACAACTAGTCATGTGTTAGCTTAGAAGAATGAATGAGATGCAGCCTTGCCAGCCTATATACCACGGCTTAGCTTGTTGAGCCTAGTCTAATGCGGAAATTGAGTGATGATTGAAGTTATCTTGTCTATGTTTGAGGAGAATGATCAAAATCATGATCCTTGTGTTCCAAAGATGTCCTGTAGTGTGCTGAATGAATGTGAAAGAGAGTCGAGGCTGCTTGTGCAGTGTTAAATGATGCAATGATACTATGTTTAGAAAGGAGTTGATAGAAGTAAAAATAAGAGGTTCCAAGATGAAGAGATTTTAATTACTGTTTTATTCTAATTATCAGTTGATCATATATCTCCTTATAAGATATGTAGTAAGAAATAAGAGGATCGAACCATTTCTTTTGACTCTTTCAAAATTGATAATTGGTGATTGATTGTATAGTTGTGATTCCTTATTACTCAACTTCTTTAAGAGAAAAACTTGTGTTTTTCAATTTATTATTGTTATGAAACATACAGTTTGCAATTTTATATTCAGAGGAGTCTTTTTGTATGTCATTTGAGCATTTTACCTATACAAGACCTACTTCTGTGTGTGGAGGCAATGCATTTACAACATTTTCTTAATCGCTGTTCTGAAAATCAGGTCGGTATGTGATCCTCAGCCTAATCCGTTAGGTTACATAAAGAAGGAGCATATATGTGGCAGACCACTGGGCCTTAGGTTCAACAAGAAGACTGGTGAACTATACATTGCAGATGCATATTTCGGATTAATGAAGGTAGGGCCAGAAGGAGGTGTGGCAACATCCCTTGTAACTGAAGCAGAAGGGGTACCTTTAACATTTACAAATGACTTGGATATTGATGATGAGGGAAATGTGTATTTTACAGATAGTAGCGCTCAGTATCAGAGAAGGTAAGTTACTAATTCCTCTTAAATACTGGTGATGTGCTTAGTTATAGTTTATATGTGGCAAAAATAACCTTCGAGTCAAGTATGATTTCAGAAATCCGATTAAATTATAGTAGTGTGTTTAATCAACATTGTAAGGCCCTGATTATAACTCCCTACAGTCCTCATCTACATCACCCTTTTGAATCTCAAATACGTTGAAATATTCATGTGTATATTATAGATCATTTGCTATAAACTGTATGTATTAGGTTTGTTGATCCATTTGTATTTTTTTTTTATTTTTTTTACCTTGAGCTCAATATGGGCAACATCATACTTGTGCACTGACATAATGCTTTGGTATCAGACATTTCATGCAGTTGGTTTTCTCTGGAGAGGATGGTGGGAGGGTCTTGAAATATGATCCAGTGACAAAAGAAACGACTGTTCTCCTGAAGAACATCCAATTCCCTAATGGTCTTACATTGAGCAAGGATGGATCTTTCTTTCTCTTCTGCGAAGGTTCCATTGGCAGGTGTAGTATTATTTCCTCTTATTATTCCACCATATATGAATACATGTTCTTTGCTCGTATGGATATCGACTTCTTACTCTTTTGTTAGCTCCATATAGTTGGGTTGAAAGTATCTCCCTCCTCTAATTGGAGTAAATGACATTAATAATTACAAGTTCAACCCATCTTTAGATTATACACAGTTCATGAAATATCCCCAATCTGAAACTTTTTGTATTTGACATAGGTAGTATTTTACTTTGATAGCCTATATTTTCACTCTTTTTTCTGATGCCCTTAACAAGATGGAGCTGGAATTGAACTTAAATTAGCTAATATCTTGCATGAATCCACGATAACGCCCTTGATTTGTATGACATGGCCAACAGGCTAAGCAGATATTGGTTGAAAGGAGAAAAGGCTGGAACCTCAGAAATATTTGCGATTTTACCAGGATTTCCTGACAACATCAGGACCAACAAAGACGGTGACTTTTGGGTGGCATTGCACTGTCGTCGCAGCTGGACAAACCACTTGTTGGCAGCAACACCAAGATTACGGAATTTCTCGCTTAAGCTGCCAATCAAAGCAAAGTATCAGTTCATGGTCTTCATTGGAGGCTGGCCTCACGGAATCATTGTGAAGTATAACCCTGAAGGTGAAATCGTACAGATCTTGGAGGATAGTCCAGGGAAGGTTGTGAAAGCTGTGAGTGAAGTCGAAGAGAAAGATGGGAAACTCTGGATTGGAAGCGTCTTAATGCCTTTTGTTGCAGTTTACGACTTGGGATCAAGCTCGAGATGAGAGGCTAGATAGCCAACCTGTCATCTGCTTATCAGACATTTCCTAATCGCTTTTGCATTCTTTTGCTCATTTAACTTTTGATTAAGTTCTATACTACAAAGGACTAGGAAAGAAATGTGTTTGCTTCGTTTTTCCTTGATGTATATCTTTAATACCGTTGCAGCTTTTTCACGAAGGCCATAAATAATCAGTACTTCCCTAATCTTAGTACAATATCGTCAATGTCATATTTGACTTTTTTAGATCGGTTATCTGTTATTTCTCATCATTTATTCACTCTCTAGTTAGATTCATTTCAATACCTCAATATGAAAGCATACTTATACAGTAATATTCATGTTGTATTTATCAGCAGTGTTGTAGAGGTTAACTATCAATGGTTAAACTTAAACGTGTGCGGTGTGCATATAAGGACAATAGGGTACATGAGAACTCTCTTAAATGAAGGAAAATCGGAAATAGCCTAGGTTTCGAATTGTCATAGAAACCGTGTGAAAGCTATCCATCTGGAACAATACATACAAAAGTGCTCCCTCTAGAGATGAGAGGATATAATGCTGCTGTGTTCATGAGTTTAATCTGAATATGCTTTTATTCTCTTTTCATCACCAAAGTTTTGGTTTAGTCTTAAGTTTCTGCAAAGGTTCATTTGGAGGAGATACTTGCTAAAGATTCCAGCCGCCTCTTGTGCAAACAAATTCTAGACATATTTAAGGCATTATTTCAGAGCTGGAGAAAAAAAAATGAAGTATATTCCCAGGGTAGAAAGCCCAAAGAAATGTAGAACATTAACAATTAAGATTAACGTATAAAACCCCCACCACAGCCGATTGAATCCAGCTATAATAATCAAAACCGAGCAATGAGTTGGTATTTAACATTCTAAATACTTTCACTTGTTCGAAGCTGCTTCACTGGGTGTTCTAGTAATCATCTGGTCAACTGCATGCACAGTGGTTTGAAGCTCTTCCCATATAGCCTTGTACACCATTCTCTGCCTATTCACAGCTGTTTTTCCCTCGAATGCTGAAGATACAACATCGATGCTGGCATGAAAAAGGCATAAAAACTCTGTAAGTGAACATGAGCATGCATTGATTTCATAGTGTACTTTTTTCATAGCAGTAACGGTATACTGTATGAATAATTTGTGTCCCAAAAAAAAGGGGAACCCTAAAAAAATTTGGCCCAGAATAGTAAGCCTTATAGCCTGATGTTCTTTTTAAAAATAGTAATAGTACTTCACTGGAGTTGAGTGAGAGGGAGATTTTGTTTTAGAAAAAGCTCGACCATATTTTTAAATTACTCCCTCCATCCAGAACAAACTAATCACATCTAACTTCACCTCAATGAGCAACTTGCAGGCACTGGGCACCATGTTTCACCAACTTAAATCACGAGGACAGGCAACAGCAAAAAGGTTATAAACTTATCATGTTTAGAGTTTCATAACATGGGAAGTGGGTTAAAAAATGTAGAGTTTTGAATTTGTGTATGGCACTTCTTGTTACCTCTATTTCAAATTAAGTTTAAGGGGGTTCTCCACAAACATGATTTCAATTTGAGGGTTTGAGTAAGTGACAACCTTGTTCATATGCAGGTCATAGTAATGCACGGCATGACAGGACTCTATGTAGTACAGGCTACACATGATATTGAGGCCACACTTTTGTAGTTTGCCACACTTTTGTAGTTTGGCTACAGTTTTCCTTAAGCAGCCTATTTAAATACTTGGAGCCTTCTTATCACCTGTTTTCACTCAAGCACTGTTTTTATCCATAGCTTATCTATTAAAAATTCAAGCACCTCATTGTTTGTTTTGCTTCATGAGATAAATCCCTAGAGTCTCCCCATATATCTCTTAATACTCAGAAACCTACTCTGACACAGTACCCTCCGATCATACGCCAGTTCTACCAGTGCAGGGATATAACTAGCAGGAAAGTTCAGAAACATAAGCTACAGTTATTTCCTACACCCTTATCCTTGGAAGATAGCATGCCAATGATTCAAATGACATATAGAATGATCACTTAATAGAGTACCACAATGGAGCAATGTCTGGGCAGTTGATAAAAGGTACTTGACATATTTTTACGACTTATGAGCGAGGTCAGAAAGAAATGGCAGATATATGCATACTTGCCATTGGAACAAATGAACAATCCAAACATGTCAACACTATAAGTTTCATACCACTTCTTCCTAAATACAAAGAAGAATTCGACTCTAGTCCAGCACTCTTGTCCAAGGCATGGTCCTTATCTAAGGTAAAAAGACTAAAAACACTAATATCACAACCTTAAAGGATCCTTAACCTCCAATTTCAGAGATACTACTTTTATTAATCCTTAGATACCTCAAAATTAAAATTCTAATTTTAAAAAAGCATAAGCAAATTACCTGACATGCCGACCATCACCGTAAGCATCTTTAACAGCAACATATTCAGCTTTTAGCTCATCTCTAATCTGTTTAAACAATGAAAACCAACAATGTCAGACAACAAATATAACAGTAGAGGTAGCTACCATATACCAGTGCAATATAAACAAGCACCAAGCTATGAGAGTCTGGTAGACATCGAAAACCCGATAATAAAAAGTAAAGAATAGCAAAGTGCTCAAAACTAATGCTGTTAACCTTCCTTAAGTACCTTAACCTGTATAATCATAGACATTAATCCCAACTATGGCATATTGACAATCACTGATAGTCAAAACTCTAAATTTCTCAGACAATTACTGATAATTCGAAATTCAGAAAGAATTAATCAAGAAATGGTGATGATTAGGGTGACAGATTATCCCAAAAAGCTCTAAATAAACAATAAGAGCTTCCCAATTGAACAGTCTAAGCATAAAATCGATGCAATTTTCCAAAATCAAAAGAGAAACAAAATTAAAAGAAAACCCACCTCAATTTAATCATCAATTTCAATTATAACCATGTATTAGATGATAAAATCAGAAAAAATTAAGCAGTGACCAAAAAAAAAAGACCTTGGTTTCCATAGATTGCATCAAAGTGGAGTCAATGGATCCAGGGTCATTAACATTATGAGGAGCTGAAGCCCGAGTTGTAAAACTCAATCTACGACGAGAGTTGTTACATTGAAGAGGAGTTGCAGAAATTACAGGTGATTTTCCAGAAAATTCCAACAAATTGGGGAGACGAAGAGGGGTTTTTTGAGAAGTGGGGCAGTGGGAAAATGCAACCTTGGATTGACCCGAAAGTAGGAGTTGGTGGGTCCGACATCGGATTGTGGTTGCATACGCCATGTATGGCCTGATTAGTTGCTTTGCACTCATAGCCATTGAAGAAGAAGAAGAGAGAGTGAAATAGGCTTGAGTTGGTCTTGCCGTTCGGTATTGTTATTTGGTATTTTTATGCGGTATCTATCTCAATTCTCATGAGCCAAATGAAGTAATGAACCTACGATATTGGCCTAATGGCAAAGATTGAATGCTCCTGTTAGGCATTTTGCAACCCTCATTTATAGTTCCATTCGGGGATTTAAAAAAAAGAGCTGATTGACAATGGTAATCATCAATATCATATCACCTTATACTTTTTTCTCTACACCTTTATTGACTTTTTATATTGAAAATGTTTTGATCCTAATTCTTAAAATTATGGTTTAATTTAATTTTATTTGATTTAGGGCATGTTCTCATTGACTGAAATGAGCTGAACTGAACTGAACTTATTAGAGTTGAATTGAACTGAATTGAATATTTTATAAGAGAAAGAAATTAGGAGCTGAACTGAAATGAATTGAATATTTTATAAGAGAAAGAAATTAGAATGAACTGAACTTAACTTATTAGAGCTGAACTGAACTTAACTTATTAGAGTTGAACTGAACTGAAAATAATTGTATGTGAACAGGCCTTTAGTGTGGTATGATTTTTATTAATGGCCCAATTCATTATCTTCATGATATAGTAGTCTATATTTTCTTGGTTTATTCAGCTTTTCACACCCACCCACCTTTATACTCCGTATCACATGACCACTTCGCTCTTTAGAGTAAAATTTTATTATCAATGTAATAAATTTCATTCTAATAAAAGACAATAGAAATTTTTCACAAAAAAAATTTCTCTAACATTCAGTAATTTTTTTTTTCGATAAACATAAAATAATTTTAATTCAGAGCACTACCAGCAGTGAGGAAAAAAACCCTCACGAGTAAAAATAAGGGTGTAAAAAAAAAAACCGAGCACCACGGCAGTGAGGGAAAAAAAAACCCTCAAGAGTTGAGGGTTTTTCTAAATGAACAGTGCACGCGTGGGGCCCACAAGCAATACATTTTCTTTTTTTTTTCTGGTAGCAATGAACAGTACACGAAGCAAAAAAAAAATTAAATGGCTGGCACTGACGCGCGTCAGCCCAGCCAATGGGAGGGTGACACGTGTCAGTGCTTCAACCAATCAGAATTTTTGTACCTTTTTTACAATGGTTATATTTTGTAAATATTTTAAAAAAAAAAAATACACCAACGGTCATAAAATTTTTTTCTCTATAAATAGACATGCATTTTGATATATTTTGATATAATTTAAAAAAATCTCATAAATTAGAGAAATTAACATATTCTCTCAATTTCTTCTTCTTCTTATTATTATAATTATTTCTTACAAAAAAAAATTATTTTTACATATTTTTATTAAATTATTTTTAAACGTAATTAAAAAATAAATTATTTTTACATATTTTAATTGTATTGGAAAATTAATTATGTAGTATAAACAATATTTCAAAATAAAGATAAAATAAAAAGATGATGTGTATTATGGTGGGGTATAGTGGAGGAGTGAGAAAGTGGGTAGAGAGAGATTGAGGAGTTTTTTTTTTTCCTCATTGGTGTGGTGAAAAAATCATTTGATGAGGGAAATTGGGTTGGAGGAGTGAGAAAGTGGGTAGAGAGAGATTGAGGAGTTTTTTTTTCCCTCACTGCTGATAGTGGTCTCAGTAAACATAAATAAATCTTAAATACATATATGGTACAATAAAAATAAGAAAAAAAAAAAAGCCTAAATGCCTAATTGGCTAGTTTATGTTCCAGCAAATAAAAAGCCAATCCTTTGGGCCTTAGTTCTCATTCTCCAACACTTGTAAGTTGAGTTGCAGCATTCTGTTTCTCTCCTGTAACTCCCTCAGCCCTCACACTCTTCAATACTCATTTATACAAGTAAGTTTTCAATCTTCCATTCTTCAATTTCATTTGAATCTTTGTGTTTTGTGTATAACTTTTACATTTCCTTCAATCAAAATTTCACTTGAATTGATGTTTATGTTAAAGGAAAAATTAGAAATAATAATCCCAACTTTCATCAATTTTGCTATAATAATCCCAACTTTGATTTATTGGAATAATCTGAACTTTAGGAGTTCCTCTTTTTCTCCAATCCCAAAAACCGGTGACCGGTTGAATGGTTATTTTTTTTTTATGTTTTTTAAAGTAACACGTGTCACAACTGAATTGGCTAAAACAATTTATAAAAAATTAAAAAAAAAAAACCAATCAAACCCCAGCCACCAGCAACCCCAAAAACCACCGGCCAACCCCAACAATCACTAATCTAACCCCAAACGGCGGCGCTAATTCCCCTCCCCCTGCGTCGGTTTCCTCTCCCCCTTCCCGGCGACGGTTTCCCACTCGCCGCTTTCCCCTTCCCCTCCCCCTGAGGCGGTTTCCCACTCTGCCATTTTTAGCACAAGGCCACCTCCGACCATTCCTCCACCTCGCTCACCGCCTTCTCTCCCAAACACCCTTCACTCTCTCTCCTTACCACCCCTTTAAACGCCGCAAATCTCCGCCGTCAATCCGACAACCTCAACATCATCGAACGCCCCTTCACCAGCACCGACCACGGTCTCCCTCCTAAACCCGAAAACCCCCAAAAACTCCTCCCTTGAATTTCCGATTTAGGGTATCGGTTGCTGCGAATTTGGGATTTTGGTGGCTGCGAAAACCACCACCACTCGAAACTCTTTTTCCACCCCTCCCTAACTCTCAAAAACCCCCAAACACCCCTCCCCCACCATCGTAAACCCTAGCCGCTAGGGTTTTGAGGTGGGGGAAGGGCGGTTAGGGGTTTTTGGGAGTGAGGGAGGGGTTTACTTCGTGGTTGTTTAAGGGAATAACAGGGGGTTTAGGGGAGGGGAGAAGTCGGCGCTGGAAAGAGGCGGCTGGCCGGCAATGCATAGGCGGCGGTCTGGGCACGGGCTGGTGGTGTTTAGATGGGCTGGTGGAGAAGGAGAGGCTAGCTGGTGTGTTTGCAATTTTTGAGTTTTTTTTTTTTTTATTTTTTATTTTTGGACCAATCAGGACTAAGTTACCTGATATAATAGGTCATTGACTTCTGTTGACCGGTAAGGATTGAAGGAAATCAACACCCCCAAAAGTTCGGATTATTCAGGTATAATTCAAAGTTGGGATTATTCTGCCAAAATTGATGAAAGTTGGGATTATTATTTCTAATTTTTCCTATGTTAAATTCTATATTGTAATTGCTTTCAGGAGACCCATTTTGATTTAAGTTTTATTTTGTGATATTTTATTAGTTTTTGTTTTAATGGGTTTTCCTCAATTTGATGGAAAAACGTTGTCTTTCATTTACAAATGGTCTCTTCCAAAATTACCATTTTTTCTTTAATAATCAGTTAATCATACCTGTTCTTGCTAATTGAGTTTGGTAAAGTTTCTCTTTGATAAGTGTAATTATTATTTGGTTGTTGGTGTAATTAAAAAAAATTTCAAGTATATTATATGCTCTTGTTTGCTTTAACAACACTAAAATAATTGATCATTGTACCATTGATTACTTTATTGTTTGTCCTAATTACTATGAAATTGCATGAGTAAAGACAACACCAACCGCACTAACCCAAAATAATTAAGAATGGAGGTAATTATAGGGCAATAATATAGAATTATCCCTTGCAATTTTATACTCTAGCGAGTAATCTATTGTTTCTTTGATGAAGCTGGAAAATCTCATCCACTAATTATTAAGTGCTAATCAAATTTGGCCAATGCATCAGTTGGTTTAACAACGTGTTCTGATTACTGGATTAAAAAAGAAAAGAAATGGAAGGAGTGATGGATGGTCTATTGTCCTTTGTGTGGATATGGATTATTGAAAGAGAAGGGGAGGGAAATGGAAGGATTCATTTTTCGTTTCCGATACCAAATTGTTTTGTAGTTGAGAAGAATTGGAGGGAAAGCATGAAACCATGTCTCCTACCCCATCCCTCTCTTTCTTTCCTCTCCCTTTCCCTCCATGCTGTAATAAGTGAATCTGGAATTCAAGTTTATCATAAAATGGCTCCTTTGCAAATAGACTTTGGTTGATTAATGAGCTAAGGAAATCATCTGTTGCATAACAATATATCATTGTAGTGTATGGTGTGGGTATCACAATAATATTCTACTCCACACTACTTCAACCTCCCCAATAAAATAACGTTTCCCCTTTATATAATTGGATTTCTGGTTTTTATGTTGTATAATTGAGGTAAAACCAAGCTCAAAATCCTCCTTATTTCAGTTCTAGTTAGTGCATGAAACATCACACTTTGCATTATCAGCGAAACCAATCTCTATGACCAAATTTTGATGGATGTTGCTTTGTAGGTGCAAAGATGGATGATGCTAAACTTATGAAAGGAGATAAGCTAGTATTAAGGGGGTTGAAATTTCATGGTTTTCATGGGGTGAAACCTGAAGAAAAAAAACTTGGTCAAAAATTTGTGGTTGATGTAGATGCCTGGATGGATCTGCACAAGGCTGGGATATCAGACTGTTTGTCTGACACTATCAGCTACTCAGAGATTTATCGGTGAGTATTTAGATAGTGATTTTTGTAAAAGCTACATTTGAGGATGCTTAGGAATGAGATTTTGGATGTAGAAGTCCAGAACGTGATAATTTTTTGCTTAATATCAACTTTTGTGCTTGTGTTTGTGCTAACTGTTAGAAAGTACTTGTTTGGTCTATCATGTAAATATAATTGTTTTCATTGTTCCAAGAACAATAAATGAAATCTGAGGTTACTTTCAAACAATATTTCTATGTGGCTGTAGCTAGATGGTAATAGGTCATAAGCATTTGAGCTTCTCTCAGATTCATAATTTCCCTCTCATTTTATTTTTGTTCATAACAAGCATGTGTACCATGAATCAGCGGAATTGTTGTCTCAATGTGAGAAAATGTGGTAATATTTCTGCTTTTGTATGTGTCAAGCAATTAACTGATTTAGGTAACTATCCTTCTGAATGTTAAACAATTTCCTTTTGGTTCTAAGTTTATAACCATATTAGAATCTACAGTCTGTTGGGAACATCAGTAGGTCTTTTTTTCCGGAACTGTCTTCTGAAGTTTAAAAGCTCAGATTTTGTTTGCTAGGATCACTTTCTGCTACTATGTTTTTCTTTCATTTCCTTTGGTTGTCAAATTGTCATACAGTAATTTACTACCACCAGCATCCTTTCTTATGTATTTACAGTATAGTCAAGGAGGTGGTAGAGGGAACGTCTCGTGATCTTTTGGAGTGCGTAGCTCAACAAATCGCAACTATCACCTTTACCAAGTTTTCTCAAATATCTGCTGTACGTGTGGAGGTTAAAAAACCTCATGTTGCAGTTCAGGGCCAGATAGACTACTTGGGAGTTGAAATTTTCCGCTCAAGACCTGCTGATGCAAAATGATCTTTGACATAACACATAACCCTTAGCCCCTTGCTCTTCTTGTTTATTTTTTCCTCCCTCCTAAAAGGGTGTGTGTAAACTTGTAATGCTGAATCTTATGCAAATACTCCGTACTTGTTTGTATTTTGGACAAATAGTTGATAATCTTTCATTCTGCATGTCTCCTATAATAAACATAACAGTCGGGTGCAAATTGTACATCACATATAATCCTGAGTTTGTGGTCAACTTCAGAGCTAGAAATTCGAGTACAAAGCTTGAGTTGGCATAAGATTTCATTTGTACAGAGAAATAACTTGGGAGATCAAGTTTTCATGAAGTTTTCAATTGTTCAGAGTTGACAGACCAGAAGATGTGTACGATGTATTAAGTATAACAATTAACCATAACATAGAAATAGGGGAAATAACTTGGTTATTCTTTCCCTAAATGATTGGAATCTGATTGACTTTCTTGTTAAGCATATCGATATAAATTTCAACTCATTTGCTCAAGAAATCCAGAATTTAGTTAAGGATTAAGTCGGGCAATGATTCAATGATAACAGAATCACTTTCAAAGGAGCTGGTTACTAACACTAAAACAGAGGGCGGGGGCAAGGATCGATCCCGTAACCTCGAGGTGGGAGTGCTACCATCAAGCCAACTCCACATCCTTTATTCTTTTTCTCTTTTGATAAGAGTAATCAATACTACGTATTACATTACACTGCGAGGTTAAAGGTGGTGGAGTAGTGACATTAGTGGTCATCTTATATCCTTACCATCTATTCCCCTATAACGAATTATACAAATGAATTCCTCTACAACAAAAATTAGTAATAGTGAAAAAAAATTAAGAATAATTAAATTTGATCAATCAAAATTGTAAAAAAAAAAAAAAAAAAAAAAAAAAAGTGTATTATTGAGAGGGTAAAACCGTAAAAGGACCCAATAAAAAAAATTAAATAGGGGATGTATTTTCATATTTCAGGCAATTGGGTAAAAAAACCGAGAGCAAAGGCCAAAACTGTGGTGAAGAGGAGAGAGAAAGAGTGTAAGATCGGTGAAGAAGAAGAAGAAGTTGGTGAATCCTTCAATGGCGGAAACTCCTAATTCCTACTTTTCTGGGTTGAAAGACTTTTTGTCCGACAGATTTTCATTTCTTGATAATTACAACAGATTTGTGAAACGCGATAAGCCTTTACCCTCTTGGTCTGAATCCGATGTTCAGGATTTCATCGCCAGTGATCCTGTTCATGGCCCCGTTGTAATTCTTTCTCACTCTCTCTATCTTTTTAATTTCTGGGTTTTGCTCGATTTGCTGTTTCTGGTTTTGGGTCAATTTTGCTATTATTTTCTATGACTTCTGTTGTTTTTTTGATGTGGGTATGTTTTGATTTTGTGTATTGTTATTTGGGTTTTTGAAATATTCAGAAATTCTTTGATTGATTACTGAAAATTTTCGATTTGATTGTTTCATTTCGGGTGTCATTTTGTTTTTTTTTTTTATTTTTTTTTGTTATTTTTTTTATTAAGTGTTTTGAATTTTGCCATGTTTTGAGCTTGTTGAGTTGTTTGGAGGATTATAAGGGCTAGATTTGAATAACAGTATGAGTGTAGCTGTGTTTTTGCTTTGTTGCCAATTTCATTCTGTTAACAACGAACAAATTATGAAACTCTGGTCAATTTGTCGAATTGATTAAGAAATTTCTGAAAAATTTTCTTGCCAATTAATCTGTTAATATCAAACTTTAGTGTCACCATCACTGTCAGTGAGGTTTCCAACTGACAGCGTTTTTAGTGTTCTTTCCATTTGAATTTTGGATTCTAGGCTTTTCTCTTTTTAGTTTGATTATACGTTTTGGTGTAATTCAAGATTTCTGCAAATTTGTAATTTATTGCTTTGTTAATGCATCTCATTGATCTTTCTTTCTTTCTTTCTTTTTTTTTCTTTTTTTTTTTGCTAGCTGAAAACTGCTAGGGAAGCAGTGAACTATGGCATTGTTGGAAGTGCTGTTGGAGCAGTCACAACCGCAGGCGTTTGCTGGAAATACTCAAAGAGTCCTCATGGTATCTTTTTATTACTTTGCGTACTCCCCATATGCTTGTTGCTTATTTTTTTGTCTGATGGTTTTGAACTTTTGATTTAGTTTGAGCCCTCATACTTGGTGTTTTCTGTTGTGTCCACTTACCAAGTATATAAGACTTCAAAGAAGTAGATTTTTTAGCTCCAATCACATATTTTTGCTTCTTTGGTATGGTAACTTTGACATAATCCAGTACATTTATCAATGATACATCTTGAAAAATATACAGTAGTTATGAGCATTAGAAATTTCGTATATACTGTTTGATGTCAAGACCACGTGCTGCTGTGATTAATGCACAATTCAATTGTGACATATTTTAATGATAGTTTGTATTCAATCTCTCCTCTATAGCCTCCTTGATATTGACAGTGAGTTTAATATTTCAGCAGTCAGATAAAGCTCATTATTTAATGGAGACTTTGATATCTGCAATTCTATTTCTTAGGTTAGTGGTTGATGGGATGAGCTTTAAAGAGGAAATTTTCTATTGTAGTGAGAAAGGGAGCTGGAAACTCATAAATATTTTGTTTAATTGGTGCTATGAATATCTCACGTTGAACTAGTTAAGTTATGAGGTCTTAGTGAGAAAGGGAGTTGGAAACTTAGAAATTTTTTGTTTTTTATAAGGTGTTATGAATATCTCATGATGAACTAGTTAAATTTTGAGGTTTAAGAATAAACTTAGTGGTCAAATGAAATGTAATTGAAGAAGAGAAAAGGTTTGGGCATCTGAATTCTTTGGGGTTGACGCTCTTTTATAATACTTTGTTATTGTGTTAATAAAGAGGGGAGGGGGTGATGTGTTTTGTTGAAGGGAAGACTATTACTGAAAAGATTGAGGGAAAAAAGATGGAGGCAACTCCTAGCTAAAGAGATCGACAAAGTGGTTGCTCAAAGAGATTCATTTGGCGTGAGATGTAATTGAAGTAGAGAAAAGGTTTGGGCATCAGAATTTTATAATACTTTGTTAATGTGTTAATAGAGAGAGGAGGGGGTGATGTGTTTTGTCGAAGGGAAAAGACTATTATTGAATAGATTGAGGGAAAAAGATGGAGGTAACTCCTAGCTAAAGAGATCGACAAAGTGGTTGCTCGAAGTGATTCATTTGGTGTGAAATGTAATTGAAGAAGAGAAAAGGTTTGGGCATCAGAATTTTATAATACTTTGTTAATGTGTTAATAGAGAGGGGAGGGGGTGATGTGTTTTGTCGAAGGGAAAAGACTATTATTGAATAGATTGAGGGAAAAAGATGGAGGTAACTCCTAGCTAAAGAGATCTACAAAGTGGTTGCTCGAAGTGATTCATTTGGTGTGAAATAGAATTTAAGAAGAGAAAATGTTTGGGCATCAGAAGTCTTTGGGTTCACTCTTTTATAATACTTTGTTAATGTGTTAATAGAGAGGGGAGGGGATGATGTGTTTTGTTGAAGGGAAAAGACTATTATTGAATAGATTAAGGGAAAAAGATGGAGGTAACTCCTAGCTAAAAAGATCGACAAAGTGGTTGCTCGAAGTGATTCATTTGGTGTAGTCTATGTAGAAGATTGCCTCAATTGTTTCATTTTAATATAAAAGTGCAAAATTGATTTTTCAATACAACATTTAATTATGTTAATAAAGGAAGTAACTCAAGAAGACAATCTTTCATAAATTTAATAAATGGCCACACTAGACTTTAGAATTAATGGTAGACCTATTATGGTTCCGATCACACTATTACTACCTCGGAAGACAATACCCCCTTTAAATCCATCTCTATATTGAAAAGTTTTCTCAAAATTAATCCAATTGTATATCATTTGATTTTTTTCCCCCTAAAGTTTGACTTCTTCAAACCTATAAAAAAAAATAGGACAACGTGAATCCCATTTGCCTATAATATTGTTCAAAGGTTCCGGGATCTATGTCGAAAAATGTCGAGATTTTATGGGATTCATTCCAGTGTAATATACGAGTAAGATTGTTTGGAACAATGTATGACCTCTAACTGGTCATATATCGTGCTGTGGTTGTCTTGAGTTAATGTGAGAAAGCGTAACTTGTAAAAATATCTTAATTGACATTTTAAAGGCCATTGGGCGGTTTCAACTAGGGGTGTTCAAATCCGGGTACCCGGGTTTTCGTGTAGTCGAGTGCTCGGCCCATGACCCGACCCGAGAAATCCAGGTACCCGCTTATCGGGTACCCGAAATTCCTGGGTCGCGTCAGAGTGTACCCGAATTAAAAAAAAAGTAATTAATAAAATTAAATGCTTTTATCTGAAAGCTAAAAAAATACATCTCATACCCAAATTGAAGATAATTAAACCAAATTGAGAAAATAATCAGTTACAAGCTTGCAATCTCAAATAATAAGAAGTATACAAATTATCAAAATTGAAGATAATTAAACCAAATTGAGAAAATAATCAGTTACAAGCTTGCAATCTCAAATAATACAAAGTATACAAATTATCAAAGATAGGATAAAATAGACAATACACCATTAACATTACAAATAAACAACGCAACTTTTAATTCAAATCTGAACACGCAGCGATTTTAAGGCGGCCGTTGAGCTTATCTCCGGCGTAGAGTTGCGGTTTTCTGTGTGAAATCGTTTGCTCTTGATGTTTGTTATCTCCGACGGCGTAGATTTAGGGGTTTCTATGAGTATTTGTGGGTGAAGGGGAGAGAGAGAGAGGTGGGTACATGAAGGAGAGAGAGAGAGAAAAAGAGAGGAGGTCAAGAGGGGATGTCTGTGTGTGAAGGGGAGAGAGAGTGGAGGGGGAATAAGAGGGTAAATGACGGTTGTATGGTATAAAACCCTAATTAACATATAGTGTATGAAGTATATTTAAGAAGAAGAAAAAACCTACTTACCGGGTCAGCGGGTACTCGTCCAACTAGAAAATGCGGCCCATGACCCGACACGCTTCACCTCCTTATTATCGGGTCGGGTGGTACCCGACCCGGTAATTTTCAAAAAATAGAAAAAAATACCCAGCCGGGTCAGCGGGTCAACCGGGTCGGGTATTTTTGAACACCCCTAGTTCCAACCACCCAAATGGCCTCTCGGGGTATCATGGATCTTATATGGAGCACCCTAATATCCTTCCTTAGGCGAGCCTAAAAATGTTGAAGACTGTATGAAA